GGTCCTTGAGGCACATGATATTAAAACACAGTGGCTACATCTACACTGCAGGCTTTTTGTGCAAGAACAACTGTTCTTGCGCAAAAACTTGCAGGGCGTCTACACTGCACACACGTTCTTGCGCAAGTAAATTTACAGTACAGCGTTGGAAAAAAGGCCTTCTTCCAGAAGAGTTATTCCTCTCCCCATGAGGAATAAGCCCTCTTGTACAAGAGCTCTTCCACAAGAAGGCAGTGTAGACAGGCAACATGAATTTCTTATGCAAGAAACCCCTATGGCTAAAATGGCCATCAGAGCTTTCTTGCGCAAGACAGCATCCACACTGCCATGGACGCTCTTGCACAAGAGCACATCTCTTGCTCAAAACCTCATGGCAGTGTGGACGCGTTCTTGTGGAAGACCTTTTGCATAAGAACTCTTCCACAAAACAGTTCTTGCGCAAGAAGCCTGCAGTGTAGATGTAGCCAGTGTGATTTAGTTATTAAGCAATCAAGCTGCTTTTATTACATTATTAACCAATTGTAGAATACTTGATCAATTATTTTGTGGTAAGAATTATATATATAAATGTAGCTCTTTAAGGAAATATTGATCATTAAATTGGCTCCTGAACCACTGATGTCTGAGTATCATTGACTTAGTACTTCTGCAATCAAGGCCATAAATCTTTGGCAAGAGAAGGGATTGGAAGGCAGCAAGAAGTTTTCACTCATCTTCATGTGGTTCATTATAGACCAATGCCAAGACCTAAATCTGGGTCTCCGCAGAGTAAGCAAGGGCAGTACCTGCAGCTAGGTACTTGTTAACAAAATAACTGTTTTTAGGATTTTTAGCCAACTTTGGGGAAGTTACTGCAAGGTTTTTGTATATGTAGGCCATGTACTATTGCCACATCCATTCTAAAATGCTAAATGTAAAAACTGCAGTCCTTTTTTCCCCTTGGGTATTTGGTATTGATGTTTTAGACCTAATTTGTGATGGCAAGAGTTAAAACCGGATCTAAGAAATATAATCAAGTATTACTAACAGGAGTGTTGTAAGCAAGACATGAGAAGTAATTCTTCCTCTCTACTCTGCGCTGATTAGGCCTCAAATGTAGCATTATATCCAGTTCTGAGCACCTCATTTCAGGAAAGATGTGGACAAACTGGAAAAGGTCCAGAGAAGAGCAACACAAATGATTAAAGACATAGGAAATATGACTATGAGGGAAGACTGAAAGAATTAGGGTTTGTTTGGTCTAGAAAAGAGAAGATTGAGAGGAGACAAGATGACAGATTTTAAGTACTTAAAAGGGTGTTACAAGGAGGAAGGGAAAAAATATTCTCTTTAACCTCTGATGATAAGACAAGAAGCAATGGGCTTAAATTGCAGCAAGGGAGCTTTAGGTGGGACTTTGGGAAAATCTTCCTTACAATCAGGAAATTTTTAAGAGCAGGTTAGGCAAACATCTATCAGGGATGATCTAGATCAATGTTTCTGAAACTGTTCCACAAGAACACTTTGAGAAACACATTAACTGGCCTCCCTGGTTCGTTTATTTACCGGCGCTGCAGCCATGGAGCCTCACGGTTCCAATTGGCTCCGTTTTGTCCTTTGAAGCCAAGGGGAGCCACGGGAAGTGGCGTAGACCAGGCCACCGCTTTCCACTGCTCCGTTTGACTGCAAAGAGCAAAACGGAACCAGTGGGAGCCGCAAGGCTCTGTGGTCACGGCACCAGTAAATAAACAAACCTGGGCGGCCAGACAGGGAACTGGACTTGATGGTCTTTTGAGGTCCCCTCCAGTTCTGGTATTCTATGATTCTATGACTTTAGCAGAAATAAACACCTAAAGTGTTTATCCTACAATCCCAAACTGCCTCTTACACCTTGCTACTGCAGAAAGAATTATTCCTTCATTAGCTGCCAAATTTCCAGCTTCCCCCACCAATTTACACATTACAATTGTAATTCTGAATTTAAAGTTCTGCATTACACTGAAAATTTAGACAGCATAAAGTAAACTAAATTTAACATCAAGGATAATATGCTGATTGTATTATTCATTTACAGTCTTTATTCACTTTCATATTCCATTAGAAAATTATCTGAAGATGCCACAGAATCTCCAGATTGCTATACTGAAGTGGCAAAGAATTCCAGAGTTTTGCCTACAGAATAAGTCAGGCTGGTCTCCAAGTACACACGGCTTAGATCATGCATGCTAAAATTAGTGTTTTCTAGGGTTACCAACAGTATGGTATTACAAGAGACATCCCTTATATGTTCATCTCTATACTACAAGATTGGGAGTTGCTAAGTGCTACAGAAAACAGCAAGAAATAGCTCTGGCAAATGTAGGTGAGTAATGCTTACAATTGATGATGATGATGATAATGATATTGAGAGGCAAGACTGAGGTGAGATGCTAAGAAAACAGACCCTTATTTTTTAAATACAAAGTTGGTAACCCTAGTGTTTGCTGAGAAAATAACTTTCTTTGACATGCACCATATGTGTCACAGTTTCATACCTAAATTACAAAAAGAGCTTGTTCAAATGTTTGGTAGTGAAATATATACAGAAAACATACAGTATAGGTTGAAATTTTGAATGCATTTTTAGTTATTTGGATTAAAAATATTTACATTGCTAATGGACACACTTCCATTCGGCTTAACTCTTCCTTCATTCCATCCCTCCTTGGTCATATGTATACAGGTTTTTGCCTATTTGATCACTGTAACTGTCCTTGTAGTATTATCTAGCCTTGAGTTGTAAAATTTACATGTCTTTTGAGGACCCCATAAAGTGTATGATGATGCTTGTCTGTGTTGCCAAGTAGATCAACAACCTATTTTGTATTTTTCACTTTGTCTTTTATAAAAAAAAATAAAGTCATGAAAATAGTGCTGAATATACACTCTAAAGAAATGAAAACTACTCCACCTACATAGTTCAGATTCTGACAGGTGTATGTGGCTTGTGTTTTCCATGGATACTCCTATTGCTTCATCTTACTCTGAAACGGAGCTTAAGTCCTTGTTTATCCTAGTTGAAAGGTGGCACTCACACTCACCAGCTCCAATAAGGTTTATGACTGTGGGTAAGTCAGACATGTCTTCAAACCCACTGAAATCCTTGCCATAAAATATTCACGAATATTTTTCTAAAATGAAGATTGTAATACTGTTTACATTCAAACTTTTCTAATGGATAATCCTGCAGTAAATTCAGTAATAATAATAATTCATGCCATTTGAAAACACTTAACTTACAATATATGGCACACTATCATTATATTCTGCAGGACATTCCTGGCAGTATGGTTAAAAAACACTACATATGAAAAAGGTGTGATTTTCATAAATACTAAAGCCCTTTTTTATTGCTGTGGCAATGTAAAGTGTTTATGTAATTACATGTTAATGTCCATTTACGCTGCTGTTTGTTAGACCATCCTGCTCTGAAAAGCATCCTTGCCTTTAAGATTTCAATATACAGCCTCCTCCTGACTTACGAACCGGTTACGGACCAAGCAATTTGATGTAACTCGGTTCGTTCGTAAGTCGGACCCCACTGAGTTACATGTGACCGCGCTGTTCGTAAGCACAGATCGTGTTCGTAACTCGAGGTCTGCCATTTATGACAGCGTTGGTCGTAACTGCGAACGGTCATAAGTCAACCATTCACAACACAGGAACTGGCTGTACAGTCAGTTTTGAAGAACAGTCAGTCACAGGAAGAACAAAGGGACATTCTTGAAAATAAATGCACAAGTAATATGTTCAATTTTAGGTCTACTAGGCTTGATGGCAATTCTTAAAACCTATAATTCTGCTGTGAACCTAGTGGCATAATTTCTTCCTGTGACCTCTTCTTTTCTCATAAGTGCCTAAAAATGCTATTTAACATCCTGACTACTGAGCTAAATGAATGAGTACCCTACTAGATCAAGACATACAAAAAAAAAAAAAAATCACACTGCAAGCCACCTTCTCATTAAATTTAAAAGTCTACACAGAATGACTGATAGAACAGAATAATGCAGAAAAAATGTTAAATTACTGTTCTTGAAAACCCTTTCATCAGATAGATATGTGATCTTCCATTTCTATGTGGTAATCACATAGAAATTGTTGTTTATCTTTGTTTTTCTCACTGGATTGTTTGGCTATATACTGATTTATTCACCTCTGATTTCACAATGGTCTGCACTCATGTACAAGCTTTTTTCTATAGTTCAAACCTGCTCACTCACCAATCTTTAAACATTCACTCAATCTCTTTTAAGCACCACTAACATAATGACAGTTTTCCACTTGAAATTTGGAATGTTTTCACTTGTGTCTTCATATAATTATTTTAAATGAACGTTTTCCATAGATTCTGTTGTACTTCTGAGCTGACAAAGAAATCAGTATTTTTAAAAAGTGAGGAAAAAAGACTAAAAATTAGGACCAAATCTTTTTAGTGCAACATCATTCATCTGAATAAGAGTTTGCAAGATCAGCCCACAAAAGAAAAAAAGAACATGTTGCTATTCTCTGACACATTACAACAGAAACTCATGTTTCAACATAATCTGTGAACTAAGTGAGCTTTTATCTTTTAAAAGTAGGAATTCACTCTATTGCATAACCTACAAACAATTTTAATGTGAGAACAGCATCAACATGAAGTATAATTGTCCCTCACTCAAAAGAAGCAAGACATTGTTTTAAAGTCTTCAGATGAAACATAATGACAATTTACAAAAATAAAATGCCACACTAAGTAAAGAAAATAAGATCAGAGAGAATAAACAAAATTACTTCCCATGAATAAAATTTTAAGATAACTGAAAAAATTAAAGCTGTAAATTATTTTGGGAATAAGGTACATTCAGCTGTCTGCTTTAGCCTCCTTACATATTTAATCATTTGAAATGCATACTTAAATTAACCTAGAAAGATTAAGATGCCAATGTACCTTATGAATCCATATGAAATAAATAGTTTGAATTTTTAACAAATCCTACCTGTCGGCAATTCTGACATCATTTTAAATGCTCGGTGCATGTTTCTTCGGCAGATATCCTCTGGATCATTCAAGAGCTGGGACAGGGCAGGAATGACTCCATTTTCTATAAAACCATTCCTACAAACCAAAAGCTGGGTTTATGGTGGATAAATGCATAATAAAATTCATAAATCCTATCAATGTATAATAATCTCATTGACATTCTGTTCTAAACCTTGATGCAACTTGGAACAGAAACTGCTGCTGAATATTCTTCACTAAAACCTCAGCTACCCTCACCATTCTCCATTATCATCCCATAAACTCTGGGAATATACTTACCTGCCAACAGTATGAGTAGCCATTACATAAAGGACTTCAGTTGTTTTTTGTCGAACAGTGCTATCCTGGTCTAGAAGCAAATTTTTCAGGTTATCCAGGAATCCTGAGAGACAGAATAGATAATTTTTAACATTTTTTTTCTTAAGAGGTCGTATATTAAAATCACATTGATTGGGTCAAACTCTGGTTCTGACACATAGAGAAAGAAAGTGATTTCCAAAGCTGGAGATATACCACCAAAAAGGCTGCCCCACAAATACTCTCAACGTTGAAATGTCACAACTTTATTTTATGAGTTATTGCTGTAATGTTCATAAACAGCTAGCATTGCCAATGGCATGATTCAAAACCCAATGAAGATAATGGAAAGACTTAATTTCAGTGGGCACTGGATTAGGACATAAGCAATTAGGCTTCTATGTACTACGCTAGCTAAGGTTCTAATCAGGCAAATATATTCTGCACAAGTGGGACTCCATGTGGATGTAAAGCCCCCCTGAAGTTTGTAGAAGTAAGTGTCCAACTGCACAGAAGTTATGCCGCTAAAGCAGGGGTTCTCAAACCTTTTTGCTAAACCCTCTTTGAAGGGCTGTGATGACCAATCTCCTTCCCCGCCACACATCATACCATACTACAGATGGGTGGCAGGTATCAGAGACTGGGGAAGCTGTGCCTCTCCAAACAGCCAGGCCTGGCCTGGCCCCACCCATACTCTGCCTCCAAAGCCTCTATGTAGCTCCCCTTGTGCAGTGGCTCTGGGACTGAGGCCACATCACATAGCTCTGGGTTCTGGGGGTGGGAGCACTAAAAAAGCAGAGCAATAGGCACAAGAGGCAAAGCTGGGGGCTAGCATTCCCAGCCAGCAGTTCAAGCTCCACTCATGATGCCACTTTTATGTCTGCACTACTGCTAGTAGTGGTGCTGCTTTCAGAGTTGGGTGCTCAACCAGCTGCCACAATCTGTGACACCCAGTTTGAGAAATGCAGCACTTAAGTCACTGGAGATACTCATGTGATAAAAACTAAGAACATGTGTGTTTGCAGTATTGGGGCATAAATATATGCCTTAACTTTCTTCAAAGATAGCCTAAGGAGAAGTTATGTGAAGAAGAAATGAACTTAATTTCCTTCTTGACAATAGATTTATTAGTCCATTATTGATTGGAGATGGAGGACATGCAGTTCACCTGGTAGCAAGGGCAGAATATGAGTCTTACATTAACTTTGCAATCATGGGAGATTAAAAAATAACTTGACAGGTTCCAAAGGTAATGACCAGTATACTTGGCTGAAGAAAATACCAGCAGAGATAGACTTCAAGAATAGCAATGGGGAATGGAGATCAGAAATGGTGGCAGAACTAAGGCATATTCCTTCCTTAGTTTAAGATAAACTAGCTATATGTATGCAGAAACCAGAGTGTAAGAAAATGCATAAAAGACTGAATTTAATGGAATTGTGCCAGAGCTGAATTGGGCTTTGTTTATGGTTATGGTTTTTTGTTTGTTTTTAATTTACTATTATAGCAGGAACTCAACCGGGTCACACCAGGGGAAAATATCAATCCAAATCTTGGGAAAACAGGTACTAAGATACAATTTCGATGATGTTCCAATTTTTCCATTCATGTGCAGAATTAATTTTATTATACGCACCAAATCATCAAGGTACTATGTGTATGAGCACCACCAGTAGAAACGACAAACATATACCAAAAGGACAATTACTTCCACCAAGGAAGGTTAGGCATTGTAGAACTATTACTCAAAGAATAAGATTTAAGTGTAAGAGAGAAATAAAAATTATGAAATGCAAAGACCAAAAAAATTCAAATAAAAATACTTTCAAAGAATAAAATTACTTCGAAAATATGTGCATTGCAGGAAATATCAAGCAGTAACAATAATAATAATGCAAGTATGTGTTGGGAGGGGAGTGTGAAAGACAGTGTATATGTGCGTATGGCAAAGTGTGTGTGAGAGATATGGCATGACACAAAGGGCTTGTCGGTATGACAGGGTGGATCGATGCTGCAGTGACTGATCCAGTAGTGGTTAGTTTAGCTGATCTAGTGAAGACCTGCTAAATTGACTAGCACTTACCCTCCCACCAATGAGTAAGGAGAGTTGATGGGGGAGTTTCTTCTGTCAACTCAGCACAGCGTGGACTCTGCAGTAAGTATATCTAAACTACGTCAACTCAACTTACACTACTAATGTAACTCAAATTCTTCAGGGAGCAGCTGAGTTGCTCTGTACAGGATAAACTTAAAAAACAACAAATAGTCTAGTAGCCCTTTAAAGACTAACAAAACATGTAGAAGGTATAATGAGCTTTCCTGCACACAGCACACTTCTTCAGATGACCAGAGTGTTGGATGTCCAGAACTAAAATAAATAGGAGAGAAAGGGGGGAGGAAAAGGAAAAAAAAATGGGAGGGAGAGAAAACAAGAAGAGGAAGTGGGTATAAAAATATCAAGGGAAAAGCCGAGCTGGAATGTAACAGGAAAAACAGTCTATAAGTACCTAAAGACTGGATAGTCAAAAGAGGTAGATAAGAGCCATTGGTACGCAATAGAGAAGAAGAGTACTAACACCAGATACGATTGTATGGCTTATATTAGTGTTTCCCAAATGGTGCTCTGTAGAACCCTAGGGTTCCATGAAGTGAAAATAAGGGTTCTGCGAGAAAATTCCATTACAATAACATTTTATGATTTAAAAATAATAATAATAATAATAATATGTGATTTTTGTTTTTAAAAATGTGCAATTAAACTAAATGTTGATCTCAAGAACAGTTGTGCAGGAGGGCTTATTCCTGAGCGGGAGCATCATAGTTCTTGCACAAGAAGCAATGATTTCACAAGTTAGAAGTCAGTGTTCTTGCGCAACAACTCCCCGCCACTGTAGACAGGCAGCATGTTTTTGCGCTAAAGCAGCCGCTTTGGCGCAAGATCGCACCAATGTAGACACAGCCTATGTGAGAAATAGACATGGGTTGCCCCTTTAAGTAAGTTGCCCTTTTAAGTAGCTGGCCACCCAAAGCAGCCACAGCTGCAGCCACTAGCAAGCTCCCGGTTTCACTCCAGACACCCAGATATTTGCGCCTGCCTCCTCCCAACTCCCTTCACTCTCTCCATCTGCATAAGAAGCAGGAAGCTCCAAGCAAGCAGAAGGCAGGAGCAACATGGCAGAAGGGGGAGGGGCACCTAAAAAGTGCAAGATTTTGATAGTCTGCTGGGCAGCTTCAGGGCCACACAGCTTAAAGGTAGTTTAGATTAATATTTATTTTATTCTATATGTTTAAAGGTTTTTCAGTGCATAGACCCAAGTCCTGCAATGTGAACTGTTGGTTAAGCATTCTGCACAGGTGGGACTTGTGATGGATGCAAACATTTGACCCATGTGCCAACTGCACAGAACAGCGTGGATGCTTGGGGACTCAGAGAACAATAGTCCCACCTTCAGACACACAGCAGAAAGAAAATTTAAATGACCTACAAAGAAAAAATAGTGGGTTGATGCCCTGTTTTCTTGCTTCATGCTTGTCTGAATGGTTTTTCTTTTTCAAGGCAATTTTTATTATGGTTTACTTTTTTACATTATTAGAAAGTCAGGCCTCTCTTACTTTGTGTCTCCTGGAAAGCTCATTCACTAAAAGAAAACTTGTGGGATTAAGATAATAGAGATCTGAGATCCCCTGCAATTTAAAGTCTAATCAATGGACAAGGGAAGTCTTTTTCAGCTGGGCTACTTACAACTTTAAAAAAAAATGCTAAACCGAGGAATCTTGAGTCATGATGTTCCTTGTATTTCTAAGTTTAAAAACAAGAAGGAATAAAATGAACAAACCTTCACAGGGCTCTTGTACATAATAAAGAAACAAACAGTACTTTACCCCATCTCCCAGTATGTCTACACAGCAAAGTTATTTCAGGATACCAGAGGTATTCTGAAATAGCTACCCTACGTCTTTTGAACATGACTACTATTTTGAAATATATTGGATGCACTATTTCACCATGCCTATAAACCTCATTGTACAAGGAGTAAGGGACGGCTCGAAATAGCACTATATTCCAAAATCTGGTGCTGTGTAGACAGCGCCAAATGACGAAATAAGCTATTTCGAAATACACTCGAAATAAGTTAGGTGGCTCATTTGGGCTGTGTCCAGACTCAGGGTTTTTTTTTGGGAAAAGTAGCCTTTTTCCGAAAAAACTTCACCTGCGTCTAGACTGCAGCCGCGTTCTTTCGAAATTAAATCGAAAGAACGCGGCTTTTCTTTCGACGGTGGTAAACCTCATTTCACGAGGAAGAACGCCTTCTTTCGAAAGTGCTGCTTTCGAAAGAAGGCGTTCTTTGAATGTAAATAGGGCTTCTTCGAAAGAGAGCATCCAGACTCACTGGGTGCTTTCTTTCGAAAAAGCGGCTTGCTCTTTCGAAAGTTCCGCGTGCAGTCTAGATGCTCTCTTTCGAATGAGGCTTGCAGTCTAGACATAGCCTTGGCGATAGGACTTTTACTGGCATAGCTGTTTCAGTTAAGTGTATGTTGGTGTCTTTCTTTTTATTTTCCCATTCACACTTATATCTGGCCTAGCTACAGCTGCACAAATTTGAAGTATAAACCAGGCCAGCCTTCCCTCCTTCCTTCCTTCCAACAGCAACTCAAAGTCCTAGGTATATCTGCTTTCCCACCATATATGTAACATTTTTATTTCTAATTTTAGCATTTTTGCTGTAGAGGGATCAAATAGTATTTCTCCATCTAGCTAGATAAAGTTCTCATAATCAATTTAAGTAGGAGTATAGTAGTTTCAGCAGTCAAAAAGATTTTTTCCTCTGACATTGGAATATTTGGATAATTTTTTATCTATTCTAACCTTCCAGGAGTTTGATATATCTTACCTGTCTCAAATTCTTTTTTCTAGTGTAAGTAGAAAATTCATTTTTCTTTAGTTTCATACATCTAGTGTCTGTTTCCCCTGAAGCATCTTTCCACTGCATGTCAGTATTGTACTGGTCCAGTATCGTGATTTTATTTTAAAGTCATATTTTCAAATGTGATCTAGAGAGATCATTGAACTCTCTATTTGATGGCACCATGACATCAGTCTTAGAAGCAACTGCTAAACTAAAGGATTTTTAAAATGTATTTAATACCTCATGATGTTATGGACTGAACTGCTGGAAAATGGTGGAAATGTATTTTCTGTTTTAGGATTTGGATGCTGAAGAAATCAGTTGTCTCACTAATATTTTTTCCTTGTCATTTGACTACTAAATCTACACCTGAGTAACAAGATTCTTTGTGAAGGCAAAGGAAAGTATATGTTAATTTTCAGCACCTTTAGAACCAAAGCAAGATGTTGCTGTACTGCTATCCTCGTTGCTACCTTGAATTTGGAACATTGTTTACACTGGTAGCCTTGTAATAAAAACCCTCTATTTTACTCAGTTCATTCATTTTAGTCTTTACATTGATTAGATTCTGATTTGATTTGCATTCACAACTCCTGCTGATGACTTTGTCTGTTGCTCATTCCTATTAAGGGCAGAATTTCCCTTTACATAGTTACTTGGTTTGTTAGATCAGCCTGTCCATATCTGTGAAGTTACTTCTCTGCAAATGGCTGCAGTCTACAGTGCTGATCTAGAATCAATGAACACAAGAACAGACACATTTGTATTCTGATGATGACAGCAATGAAGAGGAAAGCCAATGTAGACAATACAGCATTGATTCAGTGATAAAGTATTCATTCCATTGCAGTTAATTTCTAATTGACTCATTTTGAATATTACTTTGAGTTGATGAAAAACTTGCCAGCTGTCTACACTGGCCGCTTGAATTTCTGCCAAAGCACTTGTTAGTCTTTAAAGTGCTACATTGTCCTGCATTTTGCTTCAGCTACCCCAGACTAACACGGCTACATCTCTATCACTATTCTGCAAAAGCACTGACTTCCTACTGTAAGAAATCAGTGCTTCTTGCGCAAATACTATGCTGCTCCTGTTCGGGCAAAAGTCCCTTTTGCGCAAAGCTTTTGCGCAAAAGGGCCAGTGTAGACAGCTCAGATTTGTTTTTCACAAAAAAAAGCCCCAATCACAAAAAATGGCGATTGGGGCTTTTTTGCGGAAAAGCACATCTAGATGGGCACGGATGCTTTTCCGCAAAATGTGCTTTTGCGGAAAAGTGTCCATGCCAATCTAGACGCTCTGTTCCAAAAATGCTTTTAACGGAAAACTTTTTCCGGAAAATCATGCCAATTTAGACGCAGCCTGTCTGTTTATCTATCTGTCTCTATACACCTCCTCTATCTAGCTATGAGAGAGAGAGAGAGAGAGAGAGAGAGAGGAAGATACACATTGGGACACGGTGTACTACGGGAGAAAAACTATAGCCTGTATAAAGATTAAAGTATCAGGCCGAAGGATGGGAAAAGAGAAGAAAGAGGTTTATTTACAAAATAATTATATTTAGGGTGGTAATGAAAAAAAATATTTACCTGTATTATTTGTAAGTTATTATTTTGAACTTGAACTATTTCAGACTGTCAGAATGCAGGGATATTGCACAGTGATTGACCTATAGCAGTATGCTTATGTCTCTTTTATGCCTCTTTCTGCACTCTAGGGCTGACATTATTTCAAAATAACAAAGAGCTTGTCTACACTGCAAGCCATTATTTTGAAATAATGTCAAGATGGAGGACTTCTTACTACGACTTTTGTAACCCTTATTTTACAAGTAGTAAGGGAAGTCGAAGGAAGAGTGTGTAGACAGCACCAAAAAACAAATTAAGCCATTTCGACTTTCATTATGCAATTGACGTAGCTCAAGTTACATAGTTTAATTCCACTTTAGTCCTGCTGTGTAGACATATGCTAGCTGATGAGTTTGGGTTTCCATAATTATGTTAAGATTATTTCTCAATAGCTAAATGGTATGCAGATTCCTGTTTTCTGAACATATATGCATTACTATCCCACTATTATTCAAGTGTCTCCTGTAGGTTTAAAGAACTGTACAAGCCCAATATTCTGTGATTTTATAATAAAAAGAACAATGCAAAAAAACTCAGCAGATGGTTAAAGCATTTTAATCCAGGGGGCTACGTCTAGACTGGCATGATTTTCATTTGCAGAAAAGAGCATCTAGATTGGCACGGATGCTTTTCCACAAAAGCACTTTTTGCAGAACAGCGTCCGTGCCAATCTAGACGCGGTTTTGCGCAAGAAAGCCCCAATCGCCATTTTTGCCATCGGGGCTTTTTTGCGCAAAACAATTTTTAGCTGTCTACACTGGCCCTCTTGCGCAAAAACATTTCGGGAAAAGGGCTTTTGCCCAAATGGGAACATCAAAGCATTTGTGCAAGAAGCACTGATTTTGGACAGTAGAACATCAGTGCTTTTGCGCAAAATCAAGTGGCCAGTGTAGATAGTTGGCAAGTTTTTGTGCAAAAGCACGTGCTTTTGCGGAAAAAATTGCCAGTCTAGATGCAGCCCCTCTGTATGTAAGAAAGTAAAAGTGGGTAAGTGTCTGTGATCAAATATGCGTAGCAGAAGAACTTGAATAAGATTATTTGATTTAACCAACACTGCTTGCATCATACTAAACACCCATGAGAATTAGCACTGTCTTGTGTTTGTCTTCCTCATATAGATAGCTCCATGGAAATCAACAGGACACCTCTTTTGAATAGTAAGTAAGATTTACACCCTTCTTCTTACCTTTAAGGATAGATTTTTTTTATTGACTTCAGTTGGAGCAGAATAGGGTCTCTGGCCTTTTAGGTAAAAAGTATTTATTTAATTTTGTTAAAGCTTTTTTTGCACCTGAAACAATTAGTGAAATGATTTCTCAGCATACAGCCTTTTAAGAGAGGAGGAAATTTCAGGCATATCAATAAAATGAGGGGAGTCTTAGTATTTTTATCAAACCTATTCTTCTACGAGTCTTTGAATCTCTGAAGGCATGAAATGGCTATAATTGGCTTCCTGACCTTATGAAAATGACACTATGTGATGCTGGGCAAACCTAAGATATATAGGTTTGCCCGGGCACTTATTAATGGATTTAAAAGTGACTGTGCTCTTACAAAGAAATTTTAAAAACCAGCTGGAGAAAAAACTGCAGAACTTGCCTTCATATGCAAATTTGGCACATTTGACCAAAGGTTTGAACAAAGACTTAAACTGGATGGACTGTTATATTCAACACCCAAATGACATCAAAAGCTAAGTATCAGGCACTTTCAATACACTCTATTCATCTCATTTAGCACAGACACTGTAGTTGGCAAGATTTTTTTTCTCCTTTCCCTCCCCATCTCCCCTTTTTATGCTATTTATTTGTACCTTTGGACCCCTTGCTCCATTCATCTGAAGAAGTGGGTTGTGCTCACAAAAACTCATGATGCTATATACATATTTTTCTTAGTTGCTAAGGTGCTTGTCGATCTTTAGTTGTTTGTTAATTTTTTTTTCAGTTACAGATTAACATGGCTACGCCACTGAGACTGAGATATGTAGTAATGATTATTTTGATTCACTGGTTTGTCAACATCCCTCATGCCTTTTTTTATCATGTCATAGAAATAAAACAGTTCAAGAAAAAAAATTGATGGAGCCAAATACTTGAAAAAGATCCAACTATTGTTTTCATATAGTTGAGGGATAGAACCTAAAATTAAAATCTATAAAGGGCACTGTTATGAGGGAATGCTAGTTAATCTCTCTAGAATAAGATTGATGATATAAAAACAAAAGAATTGTTAAATAATTAAAATAAATATAAAATTATGCTTTCCATTAGACATACATTGCTGCTCTTCACCTATTCAGGGTTTTGGGTATGTGGTTTTATCTTCTGTATAAATCTACTAGTCATACTCCCCATCTCTGGGCCATGCCCAGTTTTGTTCCTTCCGATTCCTCTCCAGAGACCCACCACTGATATGACATCTAGATTATGTGGGGATTATTTCCACTGTACAATGTTTACACTTGGTGAACCTTACACATCCATATGAGTGGCTTCAAGACTTGCCTCTGTTTTTCAGTACCATCTCACAGCATTATGCAAAGGTTTAAAATTTGATAGCATGGTAGGCAGGAGGCAGATGTCCTTGTAGTGCTGATTACCTCAATGCCAGGGAGCTCTGGGTTCTCAGGTAACCGAGACATGTTCTGGCATCAGGGAAAATCAGATGTTTAAAAATTATTCCCCCCCTCCTCACAAAGCAGTTAATATTCATGCCCATGAGCTAATTTTCTCTATGGAGGTGTACCAGCTATTCTAATCAAAGTTCTTAGACAGGATTTTACAAAGACAATGGCAGGATCAATGTCAAGACAAAAGAATAGATCCAGGTTGATCATTGAAATCCACAGTGGCAAACTTTATTACCATTAAAAAGGTTTTCAAGAAAACATACTTTATTAATCTCAGAATCTGAGAGCAAATTGTCCAGTAAACAGGTTAGTCTTTTACTGTGTGTTAGAAACTCATGGAGTGTGCACTTGTGGAGTTTCCTCCAACTTTCACTGGGATGTGGGCTCTTTCCTTTGCAGAATGAGAAGGAAGCATCATGAATAACCTGCAGCCCTCCCAAAATCCACATCCCTACAAAGAACCTGTGCCTCCAATTTCTCTTCTTCCCTACCACCTTGCAATCCTGGGCTTCAGGAGTAACAGGCAGCATTAACAGACAGCATTAATCTCATTTTTCTGAAGGATGTTGAAGAGAAAAATGGAGAATAACTGGCCTACCAGACTTAAATTCCCTCTTCATCCATTGAGTCTACTTTACACTGAATACTGATAAAGGTATTTCTGTAGCACTGTTGGAAATGGGGGATACTAACATGAAGGCAGTCCGTCTCTTCTCTTCCTCTATAATAGGGGTGGGGAACCTTTTTTGGGCCAGGGGCCACTGACCCACTGAAAAAGCAGTCGGGGGCTGAGGGTTGTGGGGAGGCAGCGGGGGAGGGAGGTTTGAGTCTACTTTACACTGAATACTGATAAAGGTATTTCTGTAGCACTGTTGGAAATGGGGGATACTAACATGAAGGCAGTCCGTCTCTTCTCTTCCTCTATAATAGGGGTGGGGAACCTTTTTTGGGCCAGGGGCCACTGACCCACTGAAAAAGCAGTCGGGGGCTGAGGGTTGTGGGGAGGCAGCGGGGGAGGGAGGTGGGAGTGCCATCATGGGCTCCCCAATGATGCGGGAGGCCATAAGCCTCAGGGGCCAGATCTAGGCAACCCAGAGGCTGCAGCTGGCTCTTGGTCCTTAGGTTCCTCACCCCTGCTCTATGACAAGGTCACGTCCAACTCTCTAGGCAGGGGATATGATATGGGCCTTAACAGAGATCTCAGGTTATAGCCAGTTTTCGTTTTCTTATTTTCCTCAGTGGTTTTGGGCAGCCTTGTATTTTTTAAACCATTATGCATAGTCCTTCATTTCACAGATAATTTATTGATTTACTTTTGGGGGGAATGGGACTGAAGCATGAGAAAAGTAAATACACTGGGTACTAACCAAGACAACCTGTGTATTTAAATTGGTTACCTAGGTCCCTATTGGACTTTGGGTTCATTGAGAGTGGTATTGATTTTTTTTTATTATTGTTCCTTTTGTAAAATGGCTCTAAGAGACAAGCAGTGACTCAGCCTATGTACATGGGGCAATTGTTTACATGCTTAGGATGTTCCAGAACAGAAAATAGAGGATGGTTAAGGAAGCAACTCACATGATGGGACTGTCACCCAGACCCAGGCTGTAACATTTTTATTCAAATTTTAAATTATTAGTTTAAAATGTCAAGATCTATCCCCATTAGCCACAAAGAGGCCTTAAATGCAGAGGTTCAAATTCTTTATAGATTCCAAGGCTAGAAGGCACAATTGTGATTATGGAGATTGACCTGCTTGTATAACAAAGGCCATACATCTTCTCCCAAATAATTACCAGAACAGATCTTTTTTAAAAACAACCCGGCTTGATTTTAAAATTGCCAGTATGTAGGCTCTCCCATGACCCTTGATAAATTGATCTCAGCGTGTGCACACACAGGTAGGCTAATTTACTTCCCTAAGATTGATGATTCATATGCATAAAACAACCTGAATTTAGCCCAAGGGCCATAAAACTGATTACATCCCAGCTTTTCTAGATGATCCACTGACAGCAAACCCTGGGCTCTTGTTTGTTTTTGCAATATGCTTTTATTCACATGAACGATTTAAAATATTTAAAAGTAACTGCACACAATAGAGAACAAAGCACAGGTTGTAGGTACCAGATTAGAACATATATCTGTGTAATAGTCACTGTGTATAGTCTGAAAAAATCATTGTAGTTCCTTAATTTTTAATTGTAAATTCATGTGCCACTTTGTAAGGGGGCATCTACACTGCAACATTAGCTCAGAATAAGATACGCAATTTGAGCTGTGCACATTGCATATCTCATTTCAATCTAATTATGAAATAGCTTATTTCATAGCTCCAATCTTATGAAACAGAAATAGCTTAGCTGTCTTCCAGTGCCAAATTTTGAAATAAACCACTACTCTGAAACATTCCTAAACCTGCATAGAATGAGGGTTACAGAGACGTCAGAATAGCAAGCCCACTAAATTTTGAAATAATGGTCTTGCTCAAAAGACACCGAATAGCTATTTTGAGATACCAGAAGTATCCCAAACTTGCGCCACTGTCTAGACGTACCTTAAGGTAGTGATCCAAGTTGGATTGTGCCTCTAGAGTTTGTTCCATGACTGTCAGGCTGGACTCTAAGGGCTCATCTAGACTATGGGGAACGGTTGAAAGAAGATATGCAAATTCCACGGGAAAGTAGTTAAGATTCAGCTTTTTCGGCGAACCTCCCCCTCCCCATCAAAAAGCCTCTCTTCCTCAAAAAAGGAGGATTATGCTGCTTTTCGACAAGGGGGGGTTCGCCAAAAAGCCGCTTCTTAACTACTTTAACTTTCAAAAGCTCCACTTTCGAAAGTGCAATCAGAAGAAGATATGCAAATTCCCGCGGAATTGCATATCCTCTTTTGACTGTTCCCCGTAGTCTAGATGAGTCCTAAGACTGACAAATAGAATGTAGGAGATTTCTTTTATTCACAACTAGCTGGACTTACCTGGCATTGCCCGGGAAACCGAAGTAACAACCGAAGAAAAACAGAAGCTGGTCCTGACAGCCTCTAGCCACACCGCAGCTGCCAGTGCCTGACATCTGGCCGTTATGGAAGACCCCCATGCTTTTCTACTGCTGCATAAAGCAAAATCTCTGACTCAAGAAAGAAGCATTGCAATGTTGAGAATCAGAGCTATTTGACTTGGCAAACTGAGATACAACAGTCACAATAGAAACCGTTTCTGTTTTCTTCCCATGTCGTGAGTCTTGGGGCCGTTAAAAGCGCAGTGGAAGGGAGAGCCCCCAAATCACCATGGCTTGTTTCCCCACCATTGCTGGAAGCGTATGGAGGCCCCTCTTCAACAGTGCAATGTTTTGCTTCCTATCAGATGGTATTTTTGCTAATTATCCTTGTAGAAGCTCATGGTTTTTTTGGTAGGGAAGTAGGGGATAGGCATGCTGGGTCTGCAGATTCTCATCCAAGAGCTGAGTATAGGGATGCCTCAATCTATGGGGCTGGCCCTACTGAATCTGAGAGATTTCACCTCGAACTCTTCTCTCATCTTTTTTGATGAAACTATTAATCAACTACCTGAGCCTGCTGACACCTCTATAGCCCCTCCTCCAACACCACCCCCTTGACCAGCTGCCCCTCCCATGGACTGCATCTCTCACCACCCCCCACTCCCAGGATCATCCAGTATCAAACCCAGGACCAGTGCCCAGATTTGAGGGATCCCCCCGCCTTGGATTAATTTCTCACCCACCCCAGCATCATCCAGTGCTGCCCCTTGGGCCAGTGCTCCTCAAAGGAGACCTGCCCTCCGCCATGGGCTTCATTTCTCACTCATTCTCTGCAGGATTGTCCAGCCCCACTTCCTTCATCCCCCTACAATCCTGCCCTTCCCCCACTCACCTCCAACAGTCCAGCCCCACC